TTTTTTTGGCGGGTCCGGGCTGGGGATTCGAACCCGCCACCTTAGGTGTACGTGGCTGGCGCCTTAGCCGGTTGAGCTATAGGCACCGAGCCTTACTTTTTATTTCTTGTCCGAAACAACTTACCATGTGATTGTTTAGCTCCTTCCAGTTCGGCCACACACTACCACTCTCAACTGATTTCCTCAGCTTCGTCTGCACCAAGAAGTCCAGCACATCCCATCAAAGTCCTGGAATTTAAACAGGCTCTGCAACGACGTTTTTTCCCAGGTATTTTCTCTTGGTTTCAGCTGAGGGGACTATTTATTTTCTAAAATTAAGTTGGGAGGTATGGGTAGCAATTAGTCCAAATCTTTCTCCTTAGAAGTCACATGTAGAACTTAGCAGACATAAATGGTCCTGAAATGACATTTGTTAATATGTCTCAATCTTGTTTCCTAGGCATCTGATCCCCCCTATGCTTCTGGTGGCTTCTGAGCTTTCTAGTCACATGGGACTTTTGTTCTCCAAATTAGAGAGTGCTAGGAATTTCTTAAGTCTTTATCATAAAAAACTGTCCTGTGGCTTTTCAATGCAGAAAAGCCTGAGCTCTTTCAAGAGCAGGTTTTCTCAGCCTTGGCACTATTGAGATTTGGGTCAGATAATTCTTTGTTGGTGGAGGTGCCCTGTGAATTGCAGTGTATTTAGCAGCATGCTTGGCCTCTACCCACTAGATGCCAGTAGCACCCCTCCAGTGGGGACCATCACAAATTCTCCAGACATTGCTAAATGCCCTCTGGGATATGAGGTTTGGGGGCTGGAGGGATTGCTACTAGTTATGGATCACTGTTCTAAAGGAAAGTTCTTGGATTCCCCAAAGTGCCAGGCTCACCAAAAAAACAAAACATAAACAAAAAGAAAAGATAACCCTGGCAGGAAGGAGTGCCTTCCTGGCAGTAGTGGCCATCTGGGGCTGAGGATGCCAATAGGCTCTTCCATGAAGATCCCTCCCTGATAACTTTCTCCTCTACTACAGCTATCAGGAATGGGACCCTCTGATTGCAGCCCAGGGCTTTTAAGAGAGGCTGCTCTCTTTGCAGACAAGAAACTCACAGTTCCACAGCCAGAATAATTTCTTCCTGCCAGGTTGCGAGACTACTCACCATATGCTTTTGTAAGTTTTGGTAACTTCTATTCCTTGAATTTTCAGTGACACAGGAAGAGATACAGTTTAAACCAGAGTCCCTCTGTAAGAAGCTGTTCTCAGATCATGAAGGATTGGAGGAATTAATGAAGACACAGATACATCCTTGTTCTCAGGGGATTGTGATATTTTCTAGAAGCTGGGCGAGTGATGTCGGCTTAAGGAGAGAACAGAACATCCTGTGTGATGCCCTCCTAATAGCAGTTAACAGCCCCCTGGTTCTCTACACGATCTCTCTAGACCCCAGTTGGCTTGGGGGACTTGAATACGCCCGAAACACTGCTCACCAGTTAAAGCAGAAACTGCAAACTGTTGGTGGTTACACAGGAAAAGTGGGCATCATTCCAAAGCTGATGCACCTGACCAGCACACAGCGTAGCCCTGGCGAGACCCCTGTCCACTATCCCCTCTCCTACAGCCTTGCTGATGAGGATGAAATGGGAAACTTGTTACAGGCCCTTGTGGTAGTCTGTCTGTGCTCCAGATCTTTCCTGAGTGACCAGCTGGGCTGTGAATTTTTCAACTTGCTCATAGGAGAGCAAAGCAAGTTGCTTTCTGAGAGCCTTTGTGAGACGCGGGAATTGTTCATCCACTGCTTTCCAGGAACCAGGAAGACAGCCCTAGCCATAAAAATCATGGAGAAAATTAAGGACGTGTTCCACTGCAAACCAAAAGAGATCCTCTACGTTTGTGAAAGTGACTCTCTAAAGGATTTTGTGACGTAAGAGTTGTATAAACTATACACCCCCAGCTTTGTTAGTCTTTTGAACTGTCACAAAAGTAATTTGTATTTTTAGTTTAAGTCTTGCCAGTGCCTTAGCAGCATAAGTGCAAGAACCCAAACTATATCCACATTTCCAAATGATCAGGAAATCAAACTACAGAAGGGAAATTTATAATGTTCAGGTTTAAACATCTCATTATATATAAGCAAAGTATGCATAACTTTATCTTTTGAATTTTAATTTTTTTTTTTTTTTTTTTTAGAAACAGAGTTTCATTGTCACAGGCTGGAGTAGAGTGGTGCAATCATAGCTCACTGTGGTCTTGAACTCCTAGGCTCAAGTCATCCTCTGACCTCAGCCTCCTGAGTAGCTGCGACTATGAGTGCATATCCCCAAGTGTGGCTTATTTTTTAATTTTTGGTAGAGGTGGGGTCTCCTATGTTGCCCAGGATGGTCTCGAATTCCTGGATTCAAATGATCCTCCTGCTTCACGTTCCCCAAATGCTGGATTATAGGCATGAGCCACCATGTCTGGCCATAACTTTAAATTTATAGAACTAGAAACTTCTTTTCCCACAATATATCACCTTTAATTTAAGAAAACTAGAAATGAACCTATGTTGCTTTAAATACACTATTTGCATGACACTTAGTAGTTTAAAGTTATAGGGTATTTCAGCCAGCTGGACATTATACCTAGCAGGAACACGAATTTAAATACAATCTGGTTTTGTTGATAAAGTATTTTCATTTTTTTGACTTGTTCTGCATCATTAGTTTTAGAAAACAGGCACTTCTGTGTTTAATTTAAGCCTCTAGCTTTCAACTTAAATGAGTTGGTCACTATATGATTCAGCAAAGGGGGCAAAGTCATTTTTGTTTTTGTTTACTTATTCAACGCATCTTTTTTTTTTTTT